GCCCCAGCGTAGCTCTCTTGCCTTGTAACTCAAAATAGTTATAATATATTTATCAATACAAGAAAGAAATCCAAAGTAGATAATTCAAATCCAACAGTTAAAGGCTCTTTTCACATCCCAAAATTACGGCATTGCAGAAGTCTGTCACTGTCCTCAGGATGATATTAACCAATACTTCGCCTCCAGTCCACTATCTTTTCACATATTCATTCATTTTTTTAAAATCACTGGCTTCACTGTTGCTTGATTTAGAAATTTCTGTTTTTGTGAGACCTATTTCTTTTTTTCTTTTCTTTTTGTGGGTTTAATTTCCATCCTGTTTTCCTTTCCACAAGTTGTATATCAACTGATCGGTTTTCATTCTGCTTTGTAAGTTGATCTTGTTGATTTTGTTTGTGTATCTCATATTTCTTTTTTGCCAATTGTATGTCAACTAATTGATTTCCATACTTGTCTTTGACTTGGTGAATCATCACGTTGAGGTCGGATGCCGCTTCTCTCATATTTGTAGATAATCCAGCTGGGGTATCTAAAGAATCCAAAAGCAATTTGTCTACCGCAACCTCTGTAATTCGATGTTTTCCCTTTATTTCCAACTCCTTCTGCTTATCCTGTATTGTGCCTAAAGATGTTAAGTTCATTTTCAAAAATTTTTGATAAAATTCTTCCGCTTTTTCAACAGTATCTAGTTGGTATCTTTCTCCTTGATATCTCAATATTATACCAACTGGAGCATCCCACCTAAATAAGATATTTCTGTTTTTTAACTCAGTCACCAGAAAACCAAATTTCTTCCTTTCCATTAACATCTTGGGGGGGAGCTCTTTGTAAATCCATATCTTTCTTCCATACAATTGCAAAGTAGAATTGAAGGAATTTTGCACAATATTATTCCTAATTTCTTTATCTGTAAAATAAATCACCACATCTCTAGGCAATTGCCTTTGCTTTGCAATCCAGGAGTTTATTCTGTAAACTCTGTCAATCCTACAAAACACTTCCTCAGGTTGAACCTTTAAAATCCCAGCCAGAATATCAGAAGATATTTTCCTTAAATCATCTCTGTTATTTTCCTGCAAACCTCTCAGTCTGATCGCATATTCTGTAAAATTGTATTGCATCATTAGAACCTCTCTTTCAATCCGTTGTTGTAAATTTTCTGCATTACAAGTCTTTTGTTCAATCTCCATTTTAGGTTTTTCTTCTGAGCTATTGTCTTGAATGTTTGTCAAATCATTTTCAATTTTTTGTATTTTATTGTCCAAATTGTCCTCAATTTCTTCCACTTTAGACTCTAATAAGTTAGTATTTTCATTCAACTTAATCATAAATTCTGCAAAGCCATTAGCCATTTTTATAATCTTTCGATCCAGAATATCAAGTTTTAATTGCACTAATTCTTTAATTTCCTGCTTAAATTTTTCAAAGTTCTGATTCACAATCTCATCCCTTCTTACAATCTCCTCCAAAAGAAATTCAATTATATTAAAATCAGTTTTCTGAGACTGGAGCTTTAAAATTTGTTCACGTAATTTATTAAGGGGGGAATCCCCCCCCATTGCTTGTTTGTCCGGCTTTAATGCCATATTTCAACGCAGAGAAACTATTTTTAAAAAAAGAGAGAAGAGAGGCAACAGAGAAAAAAAAACCTTCTTTCCAACCAAGATTAATATCAGATCTCCAGGAAGAGAAAAACACAAAAGTAGAGCTTTATTTTCAAGTGTAGCCAAAAGTATTTATTCCGCTACTTTGTATCTCAATAGGAAACGGAAGGATTCTCCCTATCCGCCCCTTCTCAAGCCTCGGCAATCGCCCTTTTTAAAGATTCTTTTTTCCTTTTCCTTTACCTTCTTCAATAATTGTTATAAAATAAGTGAGATACTTGCGATTCAGGGTTACAGGTCCAGCTCATATCCCTTCAAATGTAGCCAGGAGCATTTATTCTGCTACTTTGTGACTTAATAAGAAACGGAAGGACTTTCTCTTTTCAGCTTCCCTGCTCCAGTTTCGGCAATCGCCATTTTAAAAGATCTTTTTTACTTTGTTGAATATCCTTTGCGAAATAAGTATTAATACTTGCAATTTAGGGTCACAGGTCCAGATCCTGATCTCATCATCTTTAATTAATCTGTTAAATATCTTAAAAAGCTTGTCTTCGTAGCCTTGCTCTGCAAGAAGGCAGAGGTCTCCCAACGCCCGGAGCGAACGGCGAGTGCTATAGGGAGCTTCCTCCGCTCTCCCCCAAGAGTAAAAAAAAACTCTGGGGGCTACGGAGAGCTCTACCTACACTCACCTGCTCTATCCCACATTTCCTCCTGGAAATTGGGTTTTTCGAGCCGCCTTTGCGCTGTACAGGCGGCTCTTTACAGGCGAAGGGGCTGGCGGTCCCAAGGGACCGTCTGGTGGCTACGAAGAGCAAACCGGAAGCCGCTGCTGCAATTGTTATGAATCATGCAGTCGCTAAGTGAAGCTGGCTTCCCATATTGATTTTACCACCCAGAAGCCAGCTGGGAAGGTTACATGACACCTGGATGCTGTAACCATCATTAATACACCCTAATTTTGGTTATGGGGAATGGTGTGACAATCTTAAGTATGAGGACCAGTTGTAAATCAGTTTTTGCAGTGCCCCTGTGACTTCAAATAGTCATTAATTAGAATAAGTTAAGAGCTACCTGCACACTGACGATGAAGTGCATCTTAAAAAGAAATCTTTAGCCATCTACTTAGTGAAAGAAATAAAGCCTTGGCCAAACTTTTGAGTGGCTTCATTACAGCAGTCTATAAATGGCCTTGGAGGCATTCAGAAAGGATGACTCAGTTACCCCACCCAGATTAGATGATGGAAATAAATTCAAGGTTTATTATTGATATCAGCGTTGGAACGGTATGGTAGCTGTAAAATTTTGTTTCCAATCTTATAAGTTTTTAAGTTGCTTTTTGGCTTTTGGGATTCCTGGCTTTTAAGGATAACATCTGTCTGTTGGATTTCACAAACAAACCTGGAGTAATTTTCAGTAGTAATAATAATAATAATAACAACCTTTATTGTCATTGTACATCATGTATACAACAAAATTGGTTAGTATTTCTAGTAGGATATCTTTCAGATGGAATTGGAGTGGGTGGGGGGAAAAGCTATCACATTCCATACAAAAATGCTCTTTTTGGAAGACATTAGGTTGAAAAATGAATTGCCCTATTCTTTAAAACAACTAACTTTGTAATCAGGAAATACCAGATTTAACTGGTGAATATTAATGGTGAATAATATTATTTTACAGGTGGGAGGAGTTATTTGGGCACATTAATGTTAAGAAATTAAATCTTGAGTAACTCAGGGCATAAATACTTGACAGAGATTTGTTACTTACTATTAAAAAGTCCTTTAATTGTTAATTCCTCATCAATAAATAGCAAAAATTAAACCGCAAGATTCATCTGGTAAAATAGTCCACCCGATATTGCTAATGAGGTTCTATTAGTAAAGCATTTCAAGAGTAACTTGATATTCCTAATAGATTGCAATTGATTGCAATAACTTGATGTTCCAAATAAATATTCAGTTAAATTAGCTTCCCTGAATGAATGTTTTGGTTGGTTATTAATAAGTTAAATGCAACAGAAGAGTTGCCTTGAAGTTAAAATACAGATTTTCTCTGTCTCCATCTATCACTCTATTGATATAAAGGAAATTCTATTGTTTTCTGTGGCAAAAATTACTAATTCCTGTTTTCTTCTTATTAAATTGTTTCTATATAATGAATTTATATAGACATTTAACACCATCATTATTGGAGTTTTCATGTTAGCAATAAAATAAAAAGTCACTTTACATACTAATTCCAGCATATGGTTAATTAGTCTTGTATATCACATTGAGTTACTGTAATTACAATTAATGGCAATTTCCTTGATTATAGTTTCAGTTCGTAGTACGGTATTGTAAATCAGAGTATAGTAACTAAGCATGGTTGTCTGAAAAAAACAAGCACATTTCTAATACAGGTAGTCCTTGACCTACAAGCAGTTGCTTAGCAACCATTCAAGTTATGACAGACCCTGAAAAAGCTACTTTTGACCTGTATTCAAAGTGGGACATCAGTCCCCCCCTTTTGCTTAATGACTACTACAAACATTGGTAAAATCAGGCACATTCATGTGGTTACCTGCTTTACAACTGTCACATCTTATGACTAAAATTACAGGCTCAATCACAGTTGTAAGTTGAGGTAGTACTACAACTTCCAGGAGTAAAAATATAGTCAGCCAAGTATAAGCTCTTTAAAGGATGAAAATCAATTAAAATTAACACAGAACTCATTCCCCCCTCCCCTCAAAAAATGGATTTAGAATTCAAGTGTGTTCCTCATAGCCTATTTCAGAGGATTAGTTCAACAACAAAAGAACCCTATATATTCTCATATATATTGTTTATAGGGAGTTATATTTTGCCCTGTTCACATTATAGATTTGAGTTTAGGTAATCCAAAAAAATTAATATTTCATCCATTTCGTTCTCTACTTTTGTTTCACCAGCTCATTTGCTTCATACTTTGATTTGTCCCTAACCTTGATCTTTGGTAGAGCTATATATTATATTTACAACATTGTTTCCCTTATTTATTTGCCATTTTACTGTAGTAGGCTGATAGCAATAACAATAGCAATAGCACCTAGACTTATATACCGCTTCAGAGTGTTTTTGCAGCTCTCTCTAAGCGGTTTACAGAGTCAGCACATTGCCCCCAACAATCTGGGTCCTCATTTTACCGACCTCAGAAGAATGAAAAGCTAAGTCAATCTTCAACTGGTGAGAATTGAACTGCTGGCAGTCAGCAGAATTAGCCTGCAGTACTGCGTTTTAGCCACTGCACCACCACAGCTATTCTCTGATCCTTTGGGACTATAATGTAATCATAATGGGATACAAATATTCTAAGAAATGCACAATGTAAGATAATCTGAATAAGCCTTCCACCCTTATTCTTTCTCATCAGTGTTTACTGGAAGTGGTGATGCTTGTGCACGAGCTTTTAATACAAAGACTGGCATTCTGCAAAGAGTGTTTCGCGGCCATAAATTGGTTATTAACTGCATCCAGGTAAGCTGTCAACATTTCAAATTCTCTGATTTTACTATGGATGAATCAGTTCATGTATTTGAAATATTCCGCATATTCTGAAATATTTGGTCCGAAATATTCATAAGGCCATTTCATTTTAGATACTCATAAAGATTGCCCTTTCACCAATAATGTTTATTACAAAACAATGTATCAATAGAAGAGAATATTTGTAGTTTAGGATTAACCTGTGGAGCCTTTGGTGCCCTCGGAGCTTGGTGTTTTTCTTGCAGACATTTCATTACCCAACTAGGTAACATTATCAGTGTGAGAAGAAAGAGAGGTTGCTCACTGAAGGGGAAAATTACCTATACCTAAAGAGAGCAAATCCCTTTCTCAGCAATGATGATGTTACCAGTTGGGTATTTGCAAGAACCATCAAGCTCAGTGAGCACCAAGGATCCTGCAGTACTATTTATTAATTCTTATTTATTTATTTGTTTATTTGTTTGTTTGTTTGTTTGTTTATTTATTTATTTATTTATTTATTTATTTATTTATTTATTTATTAGTTCAATTTACATGCCGCCCTTCTCCGGAGACTCAGGGCGGCTTACAATGCATCAAGCAATAGCCTTCATACTTTTGTATATACCTGCTTAGTAGGGCTTTCGGGCCCCCCCAAGCAGTGTTCTTTTTTATACAAAGTCAGCTTATTGCCCTCCACAATCCGAGTCCTCATTTTACTTACCTCGAAAGGATGGAAGGCTGAGTCAACCTTGAGCCTGGTGAGATTTGAACTTGCAGTAATTGCAGGCAGCTGGCAACTAAGTGCTAGCTTCCCTTGCTTTTACTTTTTTATTTTGTTTAATAACTCCTTTTTTTTTTTAAATGCTAAGGAAATACGATCACTCATACTTTAGTTCCTTCTTTTGCATGAGGAATTGGATGAGTTTAGATTTCTCTTGGGTTATACGTATTGATAGAAACTGGATTGAACCACGTTTCCACATAATCCCCTCTGCTTTGAAAGCAATAAAGTCTAGCTCTGTCTTTGCTTCCGTCTCGTGTTGTGACTGTCGATGCTAAGCAGTCTAAGTATGGCCCTGTTGTTCCAGATTCACAATGAATTATTGTACACAGCTTCCCACGATGGCACGCTGAGGATCTGGGACATCCGGCAGATTTGTAAACGGAACAAGCGTCGTTTGAAGGAACGGTCTATCCAAGGTAGACATTTCCACAAGGGAAGCTTGCCTCGTCTTTTCAACAACAAAGTGGGTTGTGTGCTTCATCAGGAAAATGGAGGACCACGGGAAACAATGGAACTTGAGTGAAAACTGGAGGAGATGAGTAGCAAGCCAGGAAAACTCATGATCAAAGACTGGAGCTCAACCTTACCAAACCTCATTTTACTTTGTGCCTGGCTGGCACTGCCAAGCATCTACCTAGGGGTTATGTTTCACATGAAGAAACAGACTAAAATATGACAGACAAGAGTGTAACAGACTAGTGTATGAGCCTCCCTGATACGACGTAAATTTCTACCTTGATGCTAATGGAAAATGAGCTGGAACAATGCTTGCTCACATTCTTGAATCCAATACATCTCCAGTGTTACGAAGGAGGCCAACATTGTTGAACTGTGGTGCTGCTTCTTGACTGGTGGATCGTAGGATGGATGGTGCCCAGACATTGTTCATATTGTGTGGTCCAGGGCTTGGGAACTGAATTCCAAACAACCAATGCTATTGGAAGGGACAAGAGAAAGATATTTTTAAGAAACAGGTATGCAGAACTTATCAAATTGGATGGAGGGAACATCTAAAGATACATCCAGAAACACATGAGAAAAGAATAGCTGCTTTACATGGAAATTGGTATCGGTGCCATTTTTACAGATTGTTGAGGCCAAGTTGGAATCCAGCTGAACATGTTTTATATTTGAGAAAACCATCTTCCCCTCCCACTTCAAAACAATTATGGTGTATCCTGAACTTGACTAATTAGTAATCAGCATAAATCTATTTTGGATCGACAGGGCATTCTGTCAGCGCTCTGTGCCAGTGTTTCTCAACCTTGGCAATGTTAAGAGGTCTGGACTTCAACTCCCAGAATTCCCCAGGTCAGTTCAGCTCAGCAGCCTGGGGAATTCTGGGAGTTGAAGTCCAGACCTCTTAACATTGCCAAGGTTGAGAAACACTGCTCTGCACTTCCAACCATTATTCCATTCTGTCCAGTTTTCACCAATATTTAAAAACATCACAACCATGTATCATACATTCCTTATCTCCATTGCTTTCCCAATTATTTTAAAGATATGATTCTCCACTGAGAATTCCACAGAAGGCTAGAGGAAGCTTAAACAATTGTGCAGCACAACACTTGTGTGATGGCTGCTTAAATTTATATTTTCATTGCCCTGGAATTGCTTGCTGCCACTTTCAAATGCTAGTCATGAGAAATGCATAAAGGAATTTTGAGTTTGTCAACATTATTGGCCAGACAAAACATTTGATAAAGAAATAACTTAGCTCTTCGAACAATTATTGTAAATAATAAACTTTCCCAGGGTAACCTGCCCAACAAAAGCAGTTTTTGAGCTGGCAACTGGCAGGCTAGACTTACAGACAGTCCTCGACTTATGACCACAAATGAGATCAGAATTTCCAGTGCTAAGCAAGGGGATTATTAAATGAGTTGCAACCAATTTCACAACCTTTTTTTTTTTGCCATGGTTGTTTAGCAAATCACTGCATTTGTTAGGTGAATGATGCAGTTATTAAATGAATATGGCTTCCTGCTTCCCCTCCCCCCCCAACTGCCTTTGCTTGTCAGAAGTTGGCTGAGAAGATCAAAAATGGACATCGCATGACCCAAGAAACTGCAACTGTCATAAATACATACCGATTACCAAGCAGCCAAATTCTGATCATAAATTTTGGGGATACTGCGACAGTCCTGAGGACTGATTTTAAGTTCCTTTTTTTCAATGCTATTGTAAGTCATTAAATGAATGGTTATAAATCGAGGATTTTCTGTAATCTTCTCTCCCTCTAAATTGGCTTGAATACCCAAGATGTCTTTAAAGCATTCTGTGGGGGTTATAAAAAAAAATATGTTTTTGATATTTGAAACACCAAGAAAGAATCAATTTCCACATGTTGTAAGAAACTCACAAAAACTACAAACTACTCTTTTTCTTAAAAAAAAAAAAGGATTAAATTTAGACAGTTCAGCTTGGAAACGTTTTCCACAGGCCATTGTTCCAAATGTGAAATAAGATTTTGAGATGTTTCTAAAAGCAAATCCACTCATCTCCTCTATCAACTGCTTAGTTCAGGTGCACCTATCCGGCAGCAAAGCAAAATAGTTTGAAGGCATCAGAGTATCAAGGGATATCAAGCACCAGCCCATTGTGTCATACACATCAAGGACTCTCTGTAGATGCTATTCATTGACCCTGCCTTGTAGTTTTCAGTTTTTGTTTTTATAGAGACTAGATCCAAAGGAACCTTCAGTTCTGATGCAAGCTTTTCTTCTGAGGAAGATGTGCTTGTATTCTAGAGGACAGTCTCCAACTTTATTGGCTGAGGAATTCTGGGAGTTGAAGTCCACAAGTCTTAAAGTTGCCAAGGTTGGAGATCCCTGTTCTAGGAAAGAATTCCTGGCTGGGGAATCCTGGAAATTGAAATTCATGCCTCTTAAAATTAAGTAGGTTGAGAAATATTGTTTTAGATTCCATTGGTTAGATTACAATCAACCAATGGAACAGCTTCCCTTCGGAAGTTGGAAGTTGTGGGAGTTTCATCACTTGAGACTTTCAAGAAAAGATTGGACTGACATTTGTCAGAAATGGTGTAGGTAGGGTCTCCTTCTTGAGCAGGGGGTTGGGCTAGATGACCTATAAAGTCCCTTTCAACTCTTGTTAATCTGTTAAATCTGATTAGAAGATGTAAAGGTTGGGGGCAATTATTGGGAGAAGAAACATTTGAACTAATTGCCACAGGACTGAAAGCAGAGTCTTCTCATGAGTCTTCGTCATGAGACGAAGTCTTTCAGAAGTGAAGGTGACATGAGTTGGATTGTCTAAAGAGATCCTTTCTTGAGCTATAAATCCTTGCAGGAATGTATTCCAGAATTCAAAATGAACTAATGTGGCTCTCTCTTGATTTTGAGGTAGAGAATGGAAGTTGAACAACAGCTCTGAGGAACAATTCATTTCTCAGAAGAGAAAGAGAGAAGAATTTTGGAATACTTCAAATTTCCTGGTTGACTGAGTTTTTTGTTTGTTTTTATCTGGGAATGAAACTTATCCTAGTTTTTCTCTCTTCCTGGTATTGGTTTAGATAACCACTGAGCCATAAGTATATTATAGTTATTGTGGATTTTGTTTTAGCTGAATCAAATATTTTTAATCATTTGTGTACTTTGGGGGTGGGTTCCTTGTTAGATACTGTAATCCTATCACTGTCCATGGAGAGGCGGGGAGGATAAAAAAAATTGGAAAATAAATATTCTTTTAAAGAGAACATGGAGTTTTTTAGTTTGGACTGATTTTGGTCACAGCAAATGCGAAAGAAGAAGCATCTTTTGGGTCCCAATTACGTTACTGAAACTGAAAAAAAAATAATAAGTTGTTGCTAATTGATAATCTTTTATCTCCAGCCAGCAAAGCATCTTCTCAGGGGGACAGTTCAAATATATGGTGTTGGTAGCCCAAGGTTGGGAGAAGAGAAATGACAATTTTTGTCATTCTTCATCAAGAAGAAGAAGGAGGAGGAAGAGGAGGAGGGGAGGGGGAGGAGGAGGAGAGAAAAAAAGAGGAGGAATATGAAGGGGAAAGAGGAGGAGGAGGAATATAAAGGAGGAGGAGGGAAGAAGAATCTCAATGACCATCAATGAATAGCAATCCCAACTTGTCTTCCCATTGCTATAATATTAGCATTCCATATAGTTGTGTCTATGCCAAGGGTGGAGACCTTGACATGGAATACTACCTACTAAAGTTCTACTACTAACGTCCAGCAACTTTAGGACGGTCACCTATTTCCAAACTGCATCTTACAGTATTATATGCTTGTCCGTCTTCAAAACTTGGAAATTAATGAATCTTGCTTGCTAGCTGATGAAAAGGAACTGAGAAAGAATACCTTTCAATACCTTTGACGCAATAACTAGCATAACTGCACAACTTTTCTTCTTCCTTCCTAAGGTTGCTTAGATGGTAAAGGGGAACATTTTTGGGGTTTCCAGATCTTGCTAAATCACAAATGATCTCAATTAATACCTGCAAGTGTCAAAGCTTTCTTGATTCGTCAAGATGGCATCCAAATGTAAATAATTGCCAAAATTCTTGTGAGATTTCAGCAGCCTTCTTGAAAATCATATGAGAGCTAAAGGGTGAGATGACTTCAAACAGAAGATTTGAAAGATGTCTCAAGAAGTGGGGTAATTTTAAATGAATCTTAACTGAGAAGGTGAAGTGTCCAGTCCATTGTGCATAATTACCTGCTGAAGCCTGTTAAAGTATCAGTCACCTTGCTTGAATAGATCACAGTTACTGACTCCTGCTTATAATACAGGTAGTTCTTGAGTTAAAACAATTTATTTAGCAATCATTTGAAATTATGACATTGAAAAAAGTAACTTACGTCCAATCCTCACATTGAGCAACTCTCGTAGCAACCCTGGTTACATGTTCAGAATTTCGGCAGTTGGTAACGGATATATTTACGATGGTTTATTTGTGAACTTTCCAGTTCAGAATGGGATACCTCACCGCAGCCAACTCCTGGCCAACTCGCCACAGGACAATTTAACAATTCAATTTAATTATTCAAAATAAAAAAAATTATATAATTTTTTTATCATTCACATTTCATTTTGTCCCTTCTTTTGTATCCTTTCTTTAATGATTCTATTCCACCATTTTTTTGATATTAGTGTAACTCTTGTACTGTAATGAGTTGTCTTGCAGCAAGTTGCCTGTGGCAAATTGTCATAAGACTTTTTCCAGGGGCCCTGGAGAAAGTCAGTTTTGCTTAATGAAGATGTACCATATTTTCTGGAATATAAAATGCACCTTAGTTTTTGAGGAAAATAAGAAAAAAGCTGATTGGTGGGTGGACCGGCTTCTCAGAATACCCCCAATCAGTTGTTTCCAGAGGTGAATTTTAGCAACAGGTTTGTTGGTTGTGAGCTCTGTGCCTTGCTTTTTTTTTCTGCCCCTGAAAGCCTCCAAAACAGCTTCAGAAAAAAAAGGCTTTTTTTCTGAAGCTCTGTTTGGAGGCTTTTTTTCTGTAGCTTCTTTCAGAGGCTTTTATTCTGAAAGACCATCTGTACTCTGTTCAATCTCCTTTCTTTGGTATTGGTATATAGATTAACCTCTTCCGATCTGTTGGTTATTGTGTCATTCTCCAGATTTGTTAGCATAGTTTGGTTAGAACTTTTACTGATTCTTCCTTTGTTACTTACCATATTATTTTAGATAAAAGCCTTTCAGAGGCTTTTTTTCTGGAGTTCTGTTTGGAGGCTTTTTTTCTGAAGCTTCTTTCAGAGGCATCTTTCAGCCTCTGAAATCTGCATTTCAGAGGCTGGGTGGGGCTACATTCGGAGTATAAGATGCACCCAGATTTTCAACCTCTTTTTTGGGGGGTCAAAAGGTCTTATACTCTGAAAAATATGGTAACTCACTTGACAATCATGGTAAAAAAAGGTTGTAAAATTGGGCACTTAATAAGTACTTTTGCTTAACAATGGAAATTCTGGTCCCAACTGTGGATGTAACTCAAGGTCTACCCTTATTCTCAAAGGCTTGTACTCCTGAAGATCTGCACAAGTGTTAAAATGGTAAATTTCCATCACAGTAGATCTCATCTGTTTTTTTCACTTCTGAGCCTAGTTTTGACTTAAAGAATTTCAGTTCAGCCTGAAGCTCTCCGTTTGCTTTGACAAATTACAGCGAAGATGAAGATTGGCAAAACAAAAGTGACAATGACTTTGGTTAGGTTCATTTCCTTTGCCCCAATGAAAAGCAGAGCTGAGGTGGCTTCCACACAATCCTTCTGCCTGCTTCACTGAAGTGGATGGATGCATTTTTAATGTGTGTTTTTTTTT